GTGCTGCGGTCACACGGTGGCGACACCTGCTTTCCCAAAAGACCGGATACTGAGGCCACTAACGTGCATCCTCTGATCAAGTGAAACGTTCAGATTACATCTCATTAAAAGAAGAACGAACCACCTCGATAACGTCATCCACAACATTTCCGCTCCCTGCTTTCGTCTCCGAGGAGTCATTGGTTGACTACTCTTCGGCTGATGTGCCGCTGAGCATAGTCGATAGGCGGAAGCACCAGGACAGGGAGAAAGACGAGAGGATGGACACACGGGGAATTTCGTCCTCACTCCTCGTGCAAGCAGAAGCAGCGTCGTCGCCTCTGTCTTCGCCGTCGAGGGAAAATGGCATTAGAATTGCGTAGAATTCGCTAGGCTGACTCAGCCGGTGCCGTCGTCTGTGTGACTCGCGCCTGACGCTCTCTGCAGGGATGACGTGGCATCCCGTCCAGCTGTTTCGCTATCTCGAGACCACTCGCCCTCAGACTTCTGCTTGTCGGCGCCGCTCTTCACTTGGCCAGACAGCAAAGGAAGCTGACGAGCGGAAAAAGGGATTTGAACCGAAGGCACCGTAGCCTCGCCTAATCAGCGGAATGAATGAATAGCAGGCTTTGCCGTCTGCAACACAGCGGTCACAACTACCCTGCACGAGCGGAAAAAGGGATTTGAACCAAAGGCACCCCTTTCCTTCCCTTTACCTCAAACCCCAACTTGCTTCCTTCCTTCCTACCTACTCCTCCTACAACCGTCGGCCTTTCTGTAGTCTCCTCTTCCCTCTTCGCCTGCTCCAGTCTTTTTTTTTCTTTTTCATTTGGTTCTCCTGTTGTTCGTGGCTCTGTTTTCATTAATTTCCGCTGTGACCGCGGCCTTTTGCTTCGTACTCCGTCGAACCTTTTCTAGTCCTGTTTTCATACGTATTCTAACAATGGAGAGGACTTTCATTTTTCCCGATTGATTCTGCCGTTAGCCGGCAAAATATTGAACAGTAGACGACTCTCCTAAGCCTTACGGACACTTCGCCCTGTTTCCATATCATTGCTTCCTATTGTCACCCTCCCCTGCCGCTGATGTCTCCCCCGATTTCGATCCCCTACTTCGTAGATATAACCCTCCTGACCTGGTTCCTACACATCCCCCACCTCTTGTGCTCTGCCCTTACCTCCTCCGTCGACCTGGACCCTCCGAAAGCAATGCCCTCCAAAGGGAAATTCTAAATGACTCTCGGCACCTTTCGATCTGTTCCGATTCCCCTCCTGCGATCATCAACTCCCGATCTGTAGCCACTTCTCTAGATCGCGCCCACATCGCCTGCTTTACCTACTATTCTCATCTCTTCTCTTGTCAACTTTCTCGGCACCTTTCGATCTCGATTAAAAAACACCAGACTTCTTCTGAGCGCTCCTCCAAATTAGACAGACACCTCCTCTCGGCTTCTATGCTCTCACGCAATTGCCATGTCCGGCAATTGCCATATCCTGAGAGCCCCTGTGCACAGCAGATGACGAATCTCGCCATGGCCATTCGCAGTGTTGACTGACCATCTTGCTGCCGCTGTACCACCTATCGCCCGCGCTTGCTTCATCTTCACGCCCACATAGCCTTTCCTGCAGGCGGGGACGCGTTTCAAGCCGTCGATCATTTGGTCACCCAGTCGCCTCCCGAGCACTGTCGCCCTCCCTCCTCGTCGCAATTGAACTACACCACAATGGAGCTGCAGGCGCTCCTCTGAGAGTTCTGTCGTGTGCCACAACAATGACCAACCTCTCCGCTTCCTTGGGATCTCGATTAGAAAACACCAGACTTCTTCTGAGCGCTCCTCCAAATTAGACACACCTCCTCCCGGCTTCTATGCTCTCACGCCATTGCCACGTCCGGCAATTGCCATGTCCTGAGAGTCCCTGTGCACAGCAGATGGCGCATCTTGCGATGGCCCGCGCTTTCTGCACCTTCATCGCGGCAGGAAGGAACTTCGTCGTAATCTTGGACGACATTCTTTTGCATCGTGGAGCAGACAGTCATTCATGTGCGTATGCTTATTAAGCAGTTCCTGGTCTGGGCCCGAGTCACCCGGTCTGTTGACAACATCCTGTGTCTTTCCGCTCAGCAATCGAGTGCGCGAGAGACTGAGTTTGCAGGCTACCCCCCGCAATCGAAGTATGAACGTCATCCTATGGGACCAGAGTATTCCCTCGAGAGACTGACGACTTTGATTGATCAAGGACGTTGGCGCAGTATACTTCGCCAGCTAATGGGACCGACAAGGCCCTCGAGAGGCTGAGGGTTTTTAGAAATAGCAAGAAACAAAATCCTACTCTTTAATCCCATGCGTGAAAGCTCGCCTGCTGCAATGCAGGACCCTACCCATGTGGTCTTCTCGGGAATCTGTTCCGTCGGGAGAGGGGCACAAGAAGGCAACCGCGACAATTCCACACAATCTGCAACAAGCCTCTCCTTACGGCTGACAATACTAAGGAACAGAAGAACGCAACGCACCAATGCCTCACCATGTGCAACAAGCCTCTCCTTACCGCTGACAATACTCCTCGAACAAACCTTGATCCCCCCCCCCCCCCCTCCCGCCCGCCCCAACCCCCGCCCGCCGGTTTCCCCTCAACAGCCTTCGCGGGTGGTCCCTGTTTTGTCTGCTCGGGAAAGAAGAGAAGGCAACCGCAACAGTACCTAATATTCTGCAACAAGCCCCTATTCCGCACCTTGATCAGCAACACCGCCCCTTTCCCCCCCTTTTCCCCTCCGCCGGCAACAGCCTTCGCCGGCAATGCCGATCATCCCTATCTGTGTACACCTCGACTATGTGCTACCCGACGTTCTTTTATCTTCCCTCTCCTTGTCTTCAAAAAACCTCTTCCGGAGCTCTCTCTCTCTCTCTCTCTCTCTCTCTCTGTGTGTGTGTGTGTGTGTGTGTGTTGGCCAGCGGCCCTTCCTTACATTCTACCCACACGGCTCCGCTACTCATGATGATCCCTCGTCCTGGTAGATCACACAGTGAACGCTAATGTTGCCAAGGGATGGGCTACTGTAATGTAACTGCTGTAGTTTCTTTCTTCTTGATTTCCGACACTACCAAATCAGTAATGTAGATGTACCAGTCCATCTTTGTCACAGGGAGTTTAGGGAGCATGCAATTGGAATCGAATTTCCGAAACGCATCGTGTAGAAAAGGTCTGTTCTTTCGATGTGACTAAAACAATCTCTGTTTGACGAATCGAGGTCTATTGAATTCCTCCTGTTAAAAAAAATATACTGTAATTGCTTTTTCCCAGATGACTAGTTGTTTGCCCTCCAGAGGTCTTGTGTGATCTGCACTTGCGTAATTAAATTTATCATCATATCTTTTATCCGGCCATTGACTTTCACATATTGATGACAGGAATAAGCCACTGGCAATGCAATGTCCCTGCCCTACGCAGACAGCCAGGTGCAGCCAATCCACCTGGCCTTACCCTTAGGGCAGGTACGCTTTCAGTGTCGTATGCAGACAGGACGGGAGAATGACAGCGAATCACGTCTCTTCAGAGAGAGAACGCAGTCCACAGCAACATTCGCCAGACCGAAAACAGAACAAAGAACACATCCAACATTCGCCAGAGCGAAAACAGAACGGAGAACACAAAAATTAAGTAAATTTGGGAGGGCAACAAGGCCAGGCCTGCACCACTTGGGTTGTTGGCTACAGGGAACACTTTGGAATCATTTTAAAACCAAAGAGCCAATGAGCTGCAACCAACGGCTCCAGATCTCGAACAGTGGATTCGAATGGGACGACTGAGAGGATCCGAGGAAAGGGGACAGCAGCAGAAATATATGACGATAGGAAATGCATTGAGAACTTGACGCACTCACAGCCAGAATCCAGAAGGACGTAAGAGTAGAAAAAGAAATAGGAAGTAGAGGACGAGTGGAGCTCAAGGCTGCGACTCATCCTCGATTTTCTTCCCCCAGAAAACGGGGATAAAGGAGAAGAAATGGGAAAGAGAATTGGGAGAGAGCCCTCCTGTGGGCTCCCGTTGAGAGGAAAGGAGGAGTAAAGAATTGGAGTTTGAGAAAATTAACCAATGGATGAAAGGACAGGAGGGGAAAGAGCCCTCCTGTGGGCTCCCGTGGAGGGGAAAGGAGGAGTAATTTGAGTATGAGAAAATTAACCGATGGACGAAAGGACAGGAGGGGACAGAGACCTCCCATGGAGCGGAACAAGGAGTTACATTGACGAAAGAGAAACGAATTTGAACGGGAGGGGAAAGAGCCCTCCTGTGGGCTCCCGTGGAGGGACGGGAAAGGGGGAGTAAAGAATTGGAGTATGAGAAAATTAACCGATGGACGAAAGGACAGGAGGGGACAGAGACAACCCATGGAGAGGAAAACGGAGGCATTGGATGAGAGAGCGAAGCGGAGAGGTCAGAAGAATGCAGGGTATTCTTTTTAGTCTGTCCGGTTCTACAGACCGTCGAAAAGCGAGTGACAGTTACGACGCTCAATCACTACCCGAAAAAGAAATGGATTCACAGATCACAACGGATCCAGCAGGCAGAAAAGGAGATCAAAAACACCGAAGAAGGAAAAAGAGCACGGATGCTGGGGGAGCAATTCGGAGGACTGCAGCTCAAACATATTGTCTCACAATCCTGGAAAAGAGCGAGAAATGACGGACGGATAGAGAGAAAGAAAAGAGAGGAAAGGAGAGAGAAATGAGACGAGGATAAATATGTGGTGGAGAGAAATCGGGGTAGACAAACACAGGTCAGTACGTAGAGACAGGGCGGAGCAAAGAGAGACGCCGTCGATAGAAAAACGAACACAGAAGAGTGTACTGCCAGAAAGGAGAAGAGAGAAACAGAGAAAGAGAGCTTGATAATACTACATGCCATGCAGCCCGGACAAAGGATGCGCCAGACGTACAGACACACGGGAGAATGCAGAGGGGGACTGGCAATAGTCAACAACGTGGGAAGCTTTGTCATTGGCAAGGAGAAGAGAGGAACACTTACGGCGTGATGTCGGTAATGTCGCTATCGCTATCATCGCCTGCAGGTGGTGCACCTCCATTGGGCGTATAGATCCCTCCCTCCTCGAATCCATCACCAGCATCTGGAGAGACTTTGCCAGAAGCCGCGGCCACGGACATGTTGTCCCCGCCTTCAGGAAGTTCCACAGACAGGTTACGCTTCGGAACTGCAGCTGCTGATTGGTGGCTACTCACACCTGCCGCCGCAGAAGATGACGACTCCGCCGCGCCCGAACCAGGCGCAGCAGCGCTGACGCCTGCGCCAGCGGGCGCAGCCCCACGCGCCCCCAACTTGCTGGGACTTGGAGGTCTTGTCCCACCCGCGCCACCGACTCCTCCTCCTCCTCCTCCTCCTCCTCCTCCTCC